CACCGATACGCAAAAGTAGAACATCGACTTTGTAACGTAAAGACCTCCAGTGTCCTGATCACGGGGTCACATGTTCCTCGCGACATGCAAGGAGGATGGATGTGAGAAATGCGATTCTAGGAAAAAGAAATGTTGCTGGTGTGTAAGCTTGCGGTCGAGTTCCTGTGCTGTCTGCTTGTCCTTGTTGTAGCGTCTAAATTAGATCCATGCCTCCGTTCTTAGAAAAAGTCTAAAGGGCAAGGAGTTGACCCCCGCAGAGAAGGTGGCCCTTCCCTGGAGTAAAAATCCAGGGGGGGTTGGACCCTTTGTGAGGAAGCTGCTCTGGAGACGTCAGAGCACCGGGGAACGGCGCTGCAGCTCAGGTTCCAGGGTCAGAGGTGCCTGGGAAGCTCCGAACAGCGTAGCGTGGACGTCCAGCCCCGCTTCGAGCCGCTCCGCGTGTGGGGGCCGTGCAGCCTGGTGGCTGCTAACAGTGCCGCCGGTGACTTGCAAATCGCCGGGACACGGATCTTACGCGCTGCATGGGAAGAAGATGAGGAGTGTGAGCTGATGCGTGTGTTCATTAGCCGGATTGAGTCGTGCCACCGCGGATCCCTGTATCAAAGCATCACGCTGCGACCACAGATACACGTGATTCTGGTTTGTCAATGACGGCCTGGTAACGCCGGGGGCAGGGAGACGAGACCCGAAACCACACAGATGAGAAAGGCAGCGTCAGGCCTGCAGTGTAAAGGCCGTGGGCACAGGCCGGCCACCTGCCGGGCGAGCGGATTGGAACCCGCCGGTGGCCCCGGCCCTGTCACAGTTGCTGTGAAGTGTCCACTCCGTGGGGTCCCGGCTCCATGCTGAGAGACCTCCCCGCGCGGAGCACGGGGTGCTGTCCCCGGCGTCGGCAGGAAGGCAGCGCGCACCCCGGCGGGTGCGTCAGTCGCTGCAGCCTGCTGGACGGCGGACTCGGAAAACTGTCTGACGAGAAGCGTCGTCCGCGGGTTTCCGCACGTGTCCTGTGACCGTGTTCCGGGTGGCCGAGTGCCAGCATCTGTCCACAGCTGGGGACGTCCCCAGCGTCTGTCCACAGCCGGGACGGCCCAGGAACTGAAAGCTCGGATCACCGCCCCAGAGACGGGACCCACGTGCCTCGCGTGGCCTGTCCACAGAGACGCCGCTTCGGACGGGGACAGCCTGCGCGTGTCCAGCGCCAGCAGCCGCAAGGCTGCAGGGAAACGGCTCCAGTTCAGACACGGAGGTTCCTCCCGCGCCAGGTCTGTTTCTCCCCCATTTCCCCTCAGGCCTCCCTGTCACCTGACGTCCCCAAAGCACAGTGGTCGCTGCCTCCTGAGCACTTTCCAGCTCTGTTTCCTCCGAGATGGTGGCCCAGACCCATGCTTAGCACGAACCTCTCTGGTTTGATCCTCCAGGACATTCTCTCCGAAGTTTCAAAAGCAAAGACTTGAAGCTGGGACCCTGCCTGCCCTGGCCAGAGCCCACCCTCGCCTCCTCCCTGCGCCCACCCTCACCTCCCCCCTCTGCCCATCCTCGCCTCCTCCCTGCACCCACCCTCACCTCCTGCTCTCCTCCACATCTGACCACCACGAAATGCCTCACTATATTACTGACTGGAAATCTACTAGCAGCCATGTAAAACGACTGGGGACTCGTATTTGCTCTGACGCAGTCTGTGTCTGTCCGGCCGCTGCGGGTGCACACCCAGAGCCTCTGCCCGGCGCGGAGTCAGGGGCGGGCGTTCACCCCGTTCCAGCTCCCGTCTCCGAGCTTCCAGGGAGGGCACGCGAGACCTTGGAGCAAGGAAAGCAAGAGACTGTGGTGACTGCAGAGGAGTCCTCACGGGTCTCAGGACCCACAGCGGGGAGAGAAGGGCGCAGACGGGGGCCGTGGCAGCCAGGCCCAGTGGGCCCAGCCGCTGCCCGGTCGGGGGCACACGTGTGGGAGTCTGTGCCTCGGCAGAGCCGCAGGGGCGCGGTCCGTCTTGCCGGCCGCCGTCCTGGAGAGCTGGAGGGTTTGACGAGGATGCGTTTTGTGCAGGACGCTCTCACAGCTGCTTAGGCGGGCGGAGAGCAGCGCCCAGAGCCCGGAAGGGGAGAACTCCCGGCCACGCGGTCTGTGGGCGAGCAGGAGGCCGAGTGCGGCGGCCCTGCGTCCCTCGGAGCCCCCGCCCGCGGCAACAGGGTGCCTGGCACAGGGGGCTGCCACTGGAACCCGATGCGTCGTCCCGTGGTGCACGGGCGGCTGGGGGTGGCTCTCAGCTCTGCCGCCGGCTGTGGTAGGGTTGCCAGACTCAGCAAATAAAAATGCAGGATTCCTGCTAAAACTGAACCTCTGAACAACAACGAACGATTTTTTTTGGTGAAAGTATATCCTAAATATCACCTGGGATATACCTATATGCAAAAACCGTCCACTGATGATGTGAAATTCCAGTTTATCTGGGCAGCCGTGTTTTATCTGCCTGCTGCTGCGCGACCTTGGGCCAGTGCTCTGCCTGAGTTCCTCCTGCGGCCGTCGCTCCCTCTTCCCTCTTCTCAGATCCTCCCTCCAGGTCCAAGTCCCAGCACCCGCTCTGGGGAAGGCGGCCTGCCCGTGCCTGGGGTGGGGTCTGGGGCAGGAGGACGGGCCGGCCCCGGGGTCGGGCTTGGGACCGTGGTCAGTCGGACCCCGGGGGGCGCGTGGCGAATGCAGGTGCCCTCCCCACCCCATGCGCACCGTCCACCAGAGACAGACGGTCACTGCAGTCCCCCAGTGGGCAGGGACCTCCCTCCTCACGCAGTGAGCCCACATGGGCAGAGTCCACCCCGAAAACCATGAAAACATTTGTGTTCTCTTAGCCGTCCAAGAACCCTCTAGAACCCAGCCCTCCCTCACCACTGACATTGTTTCTGGGGTCTCGGCTCACAGCCTGCGCTGCCGGCGCCGGTGAGAGCCGCCCCAGCAGGGCACGTGCCCCGTCCTGCCGCAGGTACCTCCGCTTCTCGTCCTGCCACGCACTCCTCAGAGATTTTGTTGTCTCTGGGGCTTCCTGCTCACTTTGTTCTTTTTTTTTTTTTTTTTTGAGACAGAGTCTCGCTGTGTTGCCCGGGCTAAAGTGCCGTGGCGTCAGCCTAGCTCACAGCAACCTCAAACTCCTGGGCTCAAGTGATCCTTCTGCCTCAGCCTCCCAAGTAGCTGGGACTACAGGCATGCGCCACGATGCCCAGCTAGTTTTTTCTATATATTTTTAGTTGTTCAATTAATTTCTTTCTATTTTTAGTAGAGACGGGGTCTCGCTCTTGCTCAGGCTGGTTTCGAACTCCTGAGCTCAAACAATCCGCCTGCCTCGGCCTCCCAGAGAGCTAGGATTACAGGCGTGAGCCACCGCGCCCGGCCTTACTTTGTTCTTAATGGGGAAGAAATGTGCTCTGCTTAGCACGTTGCCTGGAATGGAAGTCTGTAAGCTGATGTCGCATTGGCCTGAATGAATTGTTGAACGCACATGTTAGTTTGATCATTTTCGTGGCCAGGTGTGTAACCTGAACACAGATTAACCGTGAGAACCTCTCGTCCCCTAACTTCCAGAACGCAGCCTGCGGACCCTCCTCTCGGGTCTCTCAGCCCTGGTGGTCTCTCCCACAGCTCCACAAGAACGGAGCGGGACATTCTGGTGTGTGTGAACACATCCGGACCGTGTTCATCTTTCACCCCAGCAAACTGGAAAACACACTCATTCACCTTCCGGCAGTGAGCACACTGAGGGCCCCGGACAGCAAACAGCCCGCCCAGAGCTGCCCGCGCATCCTCCGTGGCCATGGGCAGCGCCAGGCCAGCTGAGGACAGGAAGAGCAGGAAATGTCAGTGTTGTGAGGGTTGGTTTTTGTTGTTTTCTTCTTTCTCACACAAATATTCTTTCTTTTTTTTTCCTAAATCACGTGGCCAGAGGCTGGACCTCACGTGGACCCGAATGACGTGGTGCTTTTCTTCCTGAACAGTCGGGGACACGCAAGAAGCTTGGTGCAAACACAACAACGTCCTGGGAACATTCTGTTCCTGCAGCAGACGGGAGCCCGTCCCCTCCTCGCGTCTTGACTGGGCACCGGAGCGTAGGGCTGGTTTATCTGGGGCGGCCGCGTCCCTGGACAGCAGTCGACGCTCACGTCAGAAGAGTTACCGCCACCGATAAGGTGCCCGACAGCACACAGTCGAGTTCCTGGCTGAGAAGAGAAAAAGGTCAGGTTGTGAAATTTCTTATTTTTCCATTTTCTAAGAGAAAACCATCATTGAAACTTGTGAAGTGGTCCAAGAGAGGCCACTGTTTGGGCTGCGTGGCAAATGTGGGGAGCTTCTCTCAGCCCCTGGTCCTTGCTGTGCCTTCCGTGAGCTCAGCTCAGACGCCCCCGGGCGCCTGGGTCGGTCCATGGAGCACCGTCACTGGGCCGTGGTCCTGTCGGAATGTTCTCATAAGTGCCGCCCTGCTCAGCAATGTTAGTGCTTCAGAAAGAGCTACAGGGAGTCTAAGATTAAGAAAGCAAAGATTTTGGAAGTAGAAATGATTGAATCTTCTGCTCTGTCTTAACAACTCTGTAACTCTGAAATCATTTTGTAAGCACGAGAATGCTGTAAGAATTCAGTAGGCATTCAGGGCTCTGGTTATCCCCTTTATAAGGGCTAAATTTCTAATACGATTCACCTTTTGCCGCATAGATCTATTAGGGGAAATATGTGTCTTTTATTCCCAGTAACTATTACCAGTAATTTCACACTGTTTGACAGTGTCATAAATTAAAATAAGCTGTTACCGAGATAGTTTGGTGATAAGATATGAAAAATCTATTTTCAAATCACTGGGACACTTGAAGCCTGCCTGGCCCCAGGGCTCGGACTCCCCAGACGGCAGCCCTTGAGCCCTGGGAACCAGGCCCTGCGGCCGGGGCGGAGCGAGTCCGTCAGAGCCAGAAAAGCGGCTCCTGCTGCCCCCACCACACTGGTCGTCTCCTGGTTTCTGTTTCAGGATGAGAGCGGTTGTGGTCCTGGCTGTCGTGCTGGTCGTGATCTGCACTGAAGTTCTCTTCCCTTTCATCTGGAGAGGCAGAGAACTCCTCTGGGGTAGGTAACAAAGAAAATATGGTCTTTTGACCTTATAAAATTACCTTCAAAATTAGCAAAATAGAGAGCACAGTGGTGGTTTTGAGAGTCAGCTGGGACCCTGTAGGGTATGTTTCGTCACGTTTCACGAGGAAAGTTGTAGTTCTTAAGTTTAGAAGGAGTAAAGTACTGGTGTGGCATAATTCTTTCTGAAAGAGAACAGATTTTCCTCTGAGTACACAATAGGGAATGTCCATCTGTTCCTGCTCATGTATTTGAAATAAAAATTGCTATGGGAGTATTTTTGTTTCTTTCCTATAAAATCAATTTTTATTAAATAACCTCTGTGATGTGTTTTCTGGAATCAGTGTGCTACAATGTGAAATTAGGTTAAAAAAGCTACTGAGATAGAGTAGTTAAAATAATCACACATCAAACTCTTTGCTTTTCTTTTGCTAAAATAAACAAATAAATAAATTAAGTCCCGAACTCTGAGTTTCACTGATGTGGACATCAGAGGGGCCTTTGCCTAGAAATTGCAGCCCCGTGGACACTCTCTGGCCCCTGGGACAGTTGACACCTCCCTAGAGTCATCCCCGGCCTGTCGTGCTGCCCTGGGACCTTGCTCTTGCCCCCAGCCCCGAATTGGAGGCCTCCTCCGTCTTCCTCCCCCCGTCCCTGCTGCCCTGTCCACTGTCCACGCCCGGCCCTGCCTCCTGCTGGGAGCCACGTGTTTTCAACTTTCCTGAATACGGGGGTTCACGGCATATCGCAGGCTGTGCCGGAGCCCCCCACAGACTTGTGAGCCCTACGACGGCCCCCTGCCCACGGCCCGCACCGCTGGTCACACCACTCTGAGGTCGGGCCAAGCGGGGGCCCCTCCTGCCAGCCTGGCAGGCGCCGGGCGTGTGCGGCAAATGGGGAAACTGAAGAATCGCCCATCACAGGCGTGAGTCGAGAGCAGCAGGGAGAGTCTCCATCAAAGTGGTGTGTGCACCGCCCCGGCCAGCACTGGAGAAAGTAAAAACTGACTCCAGTGTTAAAGTGCCTCGAGGAAGAGTGGTTTTGCATCTTCCCCCAGGAAGTCAATCCTTCTAGAGCCAGCAGCGTGGTCAGTGTTCAGCAAGTGGTTTGTGAATTAATTACTTTGTCCTCTTATTTCATATTTGTTATAGTATCAGTGGTATAAAACAATAGTAACAAAAGTCAGAAGCCAAGTAGCTAGTTGTGAGCAAATTGCTATGCATAAGAGATATTCGACAACATACAAAACATTGCATACCACATTTTTTATTTTCGAAATTGTATTTTTGTAAATGTCAGGATAGGCAGTATCTATAGCTTTACTAGAACAATTTTTTATTATAATTTCTCCATCTATGAGAGACTTGACTTTTTTTTTTGCTTAAACTTTCAGTAAATACATAAGTAATGCAAATACAGCAATTGATAATAAAGCACTTTGGAACACATTTTACTGTTCATTAGAATATTTTGGGGTGAAGCTGACCTACTACGTGCTTACTTTGTAAATTACTTATTTAGAAAATATTATTTGTCTCATAATGTTTCAATCCTATATTCTTTGAGATTGTCTTTTCCAGTTTTAAATTCATGTGGAAACTGACACTAAGTAATTTTGTGTGTGTTTGGATTCGCATCACTTGTGCTCACAGACTGTGAAGCGAAACCAGTAGTCATTCCCTACCCGCCGTGCAGAGCAAACCCAGAGACAGACGGGCAACGGCACACCCCTCCTCCCGAACCCGGATAAGTACTCAGTGGACAATGTCAGTCCTGGATGCACAGTTCGGGCCTCACCAGCCAGTCTGAAAGTTGTAGAAATGTACAAGTACCAGAGCGAGGCCTTGGCACATGCTTAGGCTTGTGTGGGGCAGGAGAAATTCTTGCTCAGTAAAAGTTCCAGAGTGGGATCCCTGAAAGCCAAAGCTCAAAGAGAAATAAACTTCAGCGCCTGAATCTACTGTGACAAAAATATTTGAAAATGGAAAAAGATTTCATTTCCGCCCCCCCAAAATGTAGGCACGACCATTGTAGGAGTGAGAAAAATGTGATATAAATCCCTTCTCTACAATCCTGAATAGTCTGTTTGTCGTGGAACCGCCCCCGTATTCATCACCGACAGACTGAGATGCATCCAGTGTTTGTGCAAAATCAAGATTTACGTGCAGTTATCTTCACGGCAAACGCTCCGTGAGTTGGAGGAAGATTAAAAGAAAACAGAACAGCAGGAACAGAGGCTCTGCCTGCAGACCGAGAAATCTGGGAAGATCGCCTGAGTGAATTCGTCTGAAAAGGAACGTTGGCAAATGCATTCCAGCTCTCTGGCTTCAGCAAGCAGGGACCACTGAAGTGAGCAAAGCGCGGGTCTGTACGCAGCCCCGGGGCGCAGGCTTGTGCGGGGCACAGCGCAGGGGCCTCATGTGGGGCGGGGCTTGGAGAAGGGAGGTTCCGACTTTCCCGGGTGTGTGTGTCAGATGAACACTCTTTGGAACAAGGTAACTTCCTTATTCTTCCTGAAATGCAGCATTTTTTGCACAATGCCTTCCAGAATTCCAGCCCTCTATGTGTAATATGTGTGAAGTAGAACTTCCTGGGGGGCAGTGCACCCTACCAGAGCCGCAGCAATCTGGGGGGGCACACCCCACACGGAGAGCCGGCGGCAGGGGTGTCCCCAGACCAAGTGATTGAGGCACAGGGCTCCCTAGAGTTTAGTTTTCAGTTCTAAAAAAATAGAAGTGTTGGTTTCAAAATCTCTAAGGCCATGAGGCTTCTGCTCCGGACGGCCCCTCACTGCTGGGGCCGCTCTGCGCCACGGCAGAGACCACAGGAGGAAGAACGTGATTGTGGGACTGCGGGTGCCGCGACGGGTTCAGAACCTGCCACCCCCACACGCCACGGGGGCCGGAGAAAAGCTCTGAGCTGTGGCAGCCGGCGGGAAGCAGATGCAAGGAACGCTCTCTGCCCTCCCCCGTTTGCTCAAGAGCAGGACACAAATGGCCAGAAGAGCCCACTCCCCTCGCTGCCAGGAGGGACAGGGGCTCATGGCCAGGGAGCTCCAGGCCCCGCCCAGCCTGGGATCCGAGCGGCAAACCTCACTCCGCAGCCCTCGTCTTCCCGAGCTCCCTCCTGTGCTCCTCTCCTCACAGTCGCCCAGGCCCTTAGGGGCTTTTCCTCTGTCTTTCCCGTTGCATAGAACGTATCGTACTTTTGTTAAGATGAGACAGAAGTCCCAGTTCTAACCACCCTTTGAATTACGTCTGGGTGCTCCTGTGTTAGGCGCAATGCACGCATCAATAAACTGCCCTGGTCTCTCCCGTTACTGTCTTTGCCAGTCTGGTGTGCAAGGCCCCAGAAAGCTGGTCTAAGACGGGCAGGGAGAGAAGACTCTTTCCTCCCCTATGGTGGACGTCGGCTGTCTCTGTTCTGCCAAGAAGTAACTACCTTGAACAGCCGAGATCCGCTCAGTTCCCGCAGAGATGTGAGACCGTCATAGATGAGAACTATGTTTTGTGGGGGAAATTTTACAATACAAAATATGTATGTATTTCTTTCATAAAATTTAAAAGAATAATGATATGCTAGTCTATAAGGATCTGCTGGTCTATAAACCTACTTTTTAAAACTCACTACAATGTTTTAGTAAGAAAATAAACCAGAGAATAGGCAATATGTGATCAGTTAAGCCTAAGTAACAGCATATTAATAATGTCAGTATAGGTCAATAACAAGATCTCTTTAGCAATTGCCATTTCCAAGGGCGGTGGAGACAGAGAAACACATTTCTCCGTATTAAATCAGTTGATTCTTCAATAATTGCCAAGCACCTGCCGAAAACCAGCGTTCAATCTGAGCAGCGCGGGAGGACCGGGGAGAGAACGTGCCCAGCCCCGGGCAACCGCGGTGACAGGCCCGCCCGCACGGGCGCCGCGAACGTGAGGACCAACTTCTCTCTGGTGTCTGCAGATGAGGAGCGTGAGGATTTCAGGAGGAGGAGTCCTGAGCTGGAGCTTCGAGGTCGAACGGTCCACAAGGTGAGGGAGAAATTGGGCTTGATGTCCGGAGCCACCGAAACATGCAGACGGGTCTTGGTGAAGTTGCGAAGGTCGAAGTTCCGTATGAGGAGCCCGGAGCCTCGGGTGCTGCGGTGAAGGCGCAGGCAGGAGTGTCCTTCGTCTCGGCAAGGTCTCTGGTGACAGCGCAGGGAAGGACGGGGTGGCTGTCAGGGTGGCCCCACTTCTATGCAGGCGGCCGTGACGCGCACCCTTCTCGAGAGGCTTCACGGGGAAATGGACCCACCTCGGGGAAGGCGAGGAGAGAGCTTTGCCGTGTCCTGCTCGAGGACCTGACTTGCCGGGGATGCCTCAGGCCATTGGCTCGGCCGGGGTCCAGAGGACTACGGCGCATCCAGGCGAAGGTGCTCGTTGAAGGTGGGTGTCTGGGTGAGGCTGCTGGGAGGAGGGAGGAGGAGGGGCGCGGAGGTCTGTGGTGGGGGTGGTGGGGGCGGCCGGCGGGGGGGGGGAGGCGAGCGCGCGATCTGGGGGCGCGCGGGGTTTTTGTGGGGCTGTGTGCCGCGTTTTGTGCACCTCTCTTTTTGGCAGTGTTGTGGGGTGTCTGTGTTCTGAGGGGCGAGAACCGCGCGCGGGTTTTGTTTTTTTGTGTGTCTCTGTGCTTTTTTTTTTGAGGTGTGGGCCGCGTGTGGGTGTCTCTGTGGCGCGCTGTGGTGTGTGGGGTCTGCGCCATGTGGGGGCGCGTGTGACCCCGAGGTGTCCGCGCGCGGTGTTGTTCTCGCTGTGGGAGCGCGGGGCCGTGTGTGTGCGCGGAGACGAGGCTGTGCGTTTTGTTTTTTTGGGGGCTGTGCAGCGTGTCTAGGGGGGTGTGGGTGTGATATACACACACCCCCCCTGTGTTGTGTCCGCGCTTTTTTGTTTTTGGGTGTGGGTCTCCGTGTGTGTGATCTGTGGGTGTTTTTGCCGCGGCGCCCGCGGGTGTTGTCTGTGGTGTCGTGTTTTCGTGTGTTGTTGTGGTGTGCGTGTGTCTCGTCTTCTCTGTGGGCTTGTGCTCCTCCCCGATGGGCTCCGCCACCGCCACTGTCCTGAGCGCGCGCTCGCTGGCGGGAGGCCGGCTCCCCGGTGCGGATCCCAGCCACAAGCTCAGGCCAGGGTGATGGTGCTGGACCCAGGTGGAGCTGCTGCCCCGGGCACGGCGCCCTCGGCTGCACCCGGCCGCTCCCTCCCAGCCCTTGCCCACGGGTGTCCACTCCGGGAGACACGACCCGGATCACTCTCTGCCAGGCCCGGGGAGGACACTCTCCACCCCAGGCACTCAGTGGCTTCGTCCCAGATCCCCAAGAGTTGACTCGTGACAGATTCTCTCCTAACTCTGTTACGCTGCACTTTAGGAAATCGGGGGGCCAAAGACCCCCTGGAGCAGGGCAGAGATACAGGAGCAGAAGGGACAGTGTGGACGGTGGCCTGGGGCAGGGCGGGGCATAGAAGGCCTCGGGCTGAAGCTTTGCACGCGCTGTAGGCGCCTGTCCAGGTGACATCTCAGGACGCCAGGCTGGCCCTGGGAGACCGAGGCACCCGGTGTGGTCTCAGCCCTCGGGAGCGGCTGGTCTGCAGGGCCTCCTGTTTTCTACCGGTGTGGCGCACTCCGCTTCTTCTCGCGGGAAATAATCATTAACAGTTAGATGTGTGGACAGAGGCCGTCGGATAGCCCAGTAATGCCAGGCTTACTCATTAGTTTATTTTCTGGAATATGCTGTGATACTTAATTCTGAAGATAAATAAATCTACCTTTTATAAATAGTTTTATTTCTACATAGATGTGTAATGCTCAAAAATCTTCTGACACTCTATTTATTTTTAGAAATAAGCGTGTTTTCTTTGATGAAGTGTTGATTACACAAAAGTCAGTTCAGCGACTCAAGTCACTCTGGGCCTTGCGGACGCACTTGCCACCTCCTGTCATCCGACCTTCGCATTTTAACCTAGAAATGGGACCTTAACCTGCTAAGCTTTCCAAGTACTAAAACAAATAAGAGTGTTTCCATTGGAAATCGCTGGTGTATTTGAATAATTTATGTTTTGTTAAATGTGCAAATAGGCGAATATTATTATGAACTTTATTACTAATTTAGGCAACTAAGATATTCAGAAAAGAGGTTACTCAGAATCACTAGAAGGGGTCCGGCAAGTGACGAATTACGTGTCAATGACTCCTCGTCCTGTCCCGCAGGCAGCTCTGCCAGGTGGGGCTCAGGCCCCTTGTCACGGGGGCGCCGAGGCTCGTGGAGTAAATAATCTCCCCAGGACCTCGTGGTCTGCCAGCCACGGAAGTCCTGTGGCTGCCACGTCCTCAAGCCAGACCTGGCGGACAGAGATAAGAGTGACAGAGTATTGCTGTGTTGGCCGTGTTGTGAGTGTCCCATGTTCCACCCCCAGGAAAGATGGAGGACTCTCACGTCATCAGCGTCGTGGAGCAGAGCAGGATCCTGGTGGACGGCGCCATCCGACGCACGATGGAGAGGTGAGGGGGGATGGGGCCGCCGGGATACGGTGGGAAGGGGGGATGGGCCACCATGACACAGTGGGAAAGGGGGATGGGGTCACCATGACACAGTGGGAAGGGGGGATGGGGCCACTGGGACACAGTGGGAAGGAGGGATGGGGCCACTGGGACACAGTAGGAAGGGGGGATGGGGTCACCATGACACAGTGGGAAGGGGGGATGGGGTGACCATGACACAGTGGGAAGGGGGGATGGGGCCACCGCGACATAACGGATATCGCCATCTATGGCATGGGGGAAGGTGCGTCACACTAACTAGGGAACGGGGTGGGAGGGACACCTCCATGAATGTCACTCGTATGTGCCAAGTGCTCTGAGAGATTCTTCACAGACATTGACTATTTTAATTTTCATAGTTGCCTCCAAAATTGTTCCAATCTCTCCATTTTGCAATTAGGAACTGAAGCTCACATGCGTTAAGTCGCTTTCAGTGTCTGTGTAAGCAACTATCAAAACTAACACTGAATCCCAAATTCTTTTTTAGCAAAGCTGAGGGGAGAGCACCACGGTGCAATCAGTGGTTAATCGTGCCCTGGTTATAGGACGTGGAATGCTTAGTATTTAGTACTTGGAATGCTTAGCAGGTTAAGGTCCCATTTCTAGGTTAAAATGCGGACGTCCTGGTAGAAAAGTCAGCGTCCCCGCTCGAGAGCTGGGGCAGACTAAGGAGGGAGGAGAGAGCAGGTCCCAGGTGTTGGCGGTTGGGATACAACCGACGGCAGCATCACTAAGGTATAGAGATTTAAATCCATGCCTCATCCTGTCTTGAAATGATTAACAAACACCTTAATTTACATCTACAACAGACACCACTGTTCATGATATCATGGTCTCATGTTACAATTTTTGCAAAAACTTAAAACAAACAAAAAACTGCCAGGCATGTGTATCCTCACAAGTTTATTATTTTGCTAGAAGTTGACTGAAAATTATACAAACTTTCAAGATACAAAGGATCACAAGGCAGCAGTTGATGTATTCCAAATTGCCATTAATGTAGCCAGAAAAAAATAACTTATCATCCATATCGACTGCAAGTTTTTACTTATTCTCTACGAACTTTAATCAAAAGGGAAAGAAAGAGAAAAATATTTCTCATAAGCTCAACCACATTTTAGTATGTCTAAAACTGACATGAACTACCCAGGAGAGATTGGAATAAGGAATGGTATGAAGTGCATATATAATGACAGGTGTATGTTACTCTGTTAGTAACAGTGGCCGTTAACAGACCATTTGGCAATTCATGCCTCGACCCTAAAGATAACTTCTAGTGGTCAGTGCCTGGGACACAGGCGCCAGTCAGGGGTTCCTCACTGGAAAGATTTACTTTTTGATAGCTCTCAAAAAACACCTACATACCTACCCCAACTGTACTCATTTCCTTAAGAGATACTGTTTCCACTACCTGTCAGCCACTGGGCTCAGTGCTGGGGATGTGAGGATGAACTGAAAACACGGGCCGTTCTGAAAAGCCCGCGTTCCTCCTGTAAGGGCAGACACAGGAATAACGCACTCGATTTAGGGATGAGTTCACTACAGATAATCGGAAAATATTGTGGTTGGTTGGTAGAACCACCCTTGAGTAAAAGTCTTAATGATCATAACGTATTTTTATATTTCAAGAAGAATCTAGTTACTTTAGAGCTGAAAAGGAACAGAAACTTTTCTGAATAGTAATATCCAACGATAGAGTTGTGACTAAGTTATGTCTCTCGCTCGCTCGCTGACGGCGGCCTGGCACCACCTTTTGGAAAGGGAGGTGAAGAGAGAGTGTGACCCACAGCGGAGGGCCTGAGGTGTCACCTGCTCACGGGCTGATAGCCCAGCTTCCCCAGCTCTGTGGGGCAGGGACGGAGACTTTACCCTCAGCAGCAGGCGCAGCCAGAGTTCGCTGAGACTGACTCCCACAGAGCGACAGAGAAGGCCAGGGGACACCCGCACGCGGGCGGGTCACATCCCACGAGAGGACCCTGAGCTCAGGGAACCCAATCTTTCGTATCGAGGAGTGAGCCTGCCCTCCGTCCCTGCTCCCCGTTCTGCTGGGAAGTGTAGCCGTGTGCTCTGGAGGGAGAGTGCACCTCTGTCTTCCACCCTGGTCATTATCCAAACATGCTTGAGAAGATAGTGAACTAAGAGCTTTGTTTTCATAGGACGTGAAGAAACAACCTAGACCCGTGGGAAACTGTCCCTCAATAGTCTCCACCCCTCGTGGACACACTGCCAGGGCATCCTGCAAACTGGATGGAGGGGTGCAGGCATCTGGAGCCCCCAGAGCACAGTCTGCTGTGGTCACTCCGTCCCTCCGCCAGGGCCTGGCCACGGCAACTTCAGTGTCCCAAGGTGGCCAACTCCTCCTTCGGAGTTGGGTGTGCACCTCCAGGAGAGGACAGTGAGGCTGACTCAGCCCTCAATGCGGCCATGCCGCAGGTGCTCAGGCGAAGCTCTGAGCTGTGACGATGTTGGAAGCGTCATTGCAAAGGTCCGCTCTGTGCCGCCTGTGCAGGGACCCTAGGTCCTCACATGCTAGTACTCAGGTGAACCGTGAAACCCTGCGTTGGTTCCCTGCAGTGGGAGCTGCGGAGAGCCCAACAGGGCCAGCCAGGTACCTGTGCAGGAGGACAGGACACCGGCAGGTGAGACAGGATTGTGGACTTCCTATTCCGTGGGCGTGTTTGTGACTCTCACCATAGATGGCGTCGTTGCCCCGCTCCGCTGCTGCGGCTGGTTCTCCGCGCTGGAGCAGAAGGACGAGGTTTCCAGCCAGGTCACCTGCAGCCTGGGCTTGTGAGACCTGGACGGGGTTTGTGCTCCGATCCCCCGTCCCCCTGGCTGGGACAGAAAGAAATCGTGTCTAGGTCTGGGTGAGACGGCCTCTCTCAGCAATTGATGTGAAAACCAAAGGAGTTCAGATATGGAAGTTTAATGAGGGCAAATATTAGCCGTTTTCTTCCCCTGTTCAACTGACACATTATTTACCCTTTGTATCCATCCCTTTTACTAAACCTGCCAACAGGGGCCGTGTGGGTTCCGCCTTGCACAGGGCCCGGCACATCAACTGCGCCGTGGTAGTTACTCGATAAACCTGCTTCATTAACTGGTAATTAAGTACCAAAGCAACCGTTAGTAAATAACTAACTTCATATCTCCTATTTGTGCTGCAGAAACCTCAGAAAAAGGGAAATTGTTTCCGCAGAGCAGCTTCTGTCTTTCTCCAAACTGCCCGAGTTGACGGGTGGGGCCGTTTCCCGGGCGGCGGAGATCATGGAGACCTCGATCCGAGCGATGGGACTCCAGCGATCTCAGCATCCCACCGGTAAGCGCCTCGTGCGCCCCCTCCCAGCCCCGGCGAGGACCCACCGACTCCCTTCCGGGTGGCGTGTTTGGAGACGTTTCCTACGTGACACCGGGCGGGATGTGGTTCTGCCCCTGCAGGGCACAAAGGCTGCAGTTGTTTAAAATGCTCACCAGTCAGTCGTGGCATCCGATTTCTGTTAATCTGGAAAATAACTGTTCCTCTCTATTCAAATCAAATCTGGAAAACCAGTGTAATAAGTTAAACACCCTGTTTTATGGTATGAAATGATTTAGGGATTTTCCCATAGTCCCCTCCCTAGTTAAAACTTGGGGAGCTCATCATTGGGCCCTTCTTAATGAATTGATCGAGGTTTTATCAGTGCAGTGCCACGAACTACTTGATTTCTGAGTTCTTCCTTCTAACTAGCTCTAGGTTAATTGGTGCTATTTACTTCACTTTTAGAATAAGACAAACTTAGCAAAACCAGGATTAACCAGAATTCTCAGACCCTAAACTTAACAGTGAAGTTTAATTGATTTTTTAGCAACCAAAGTTTCATTTGAAATGGTTTTGTTTCCAACCACGAGGCTGAATGATGCTTCCAAGGACCGTTGGTCCACTGTCCTGTCACGGCGTGAGCTGGGACTCCTGCAGAACGGGGGTCTTCCTGGCTCACGCCTGGTCACTGTGCCCCCCGCCTCAGTCCGTGGGTGCAGGCGCTCAGGAAGAACACGCCGATGTGTGGTCCTGGCTGTTGTGTAGAATTGTTTTCACCCTGAGAGTGGCCCGTCTAGGGGGTTTAGAATGCAAGGACAGTGACAGGAACCGGACAGAGTCCTCTTGCTTCATCGCCAAGCAGGACCTACGCCCGGGCTGCTTCCAACGGGCTCGTCACTGCACAGCTGTGGTCACTTGGTTCTTTTTCGCTGGGCATTTTCCTGTTGTGAAGGTTCACGCTTACTTGCCTGTTTGAGGGACGCACGCGTTGTCCTCCATTAGCTGAGTGCACGTCATAGCCGAGGTTTACTGAGCTGTTCCCGTAGAGTCTTCACGTTGAGGTTGTTCCGTGAACATTCGTTATTAAGAGACTTGTTTTGTTTCTCTCCTACCTGAAAACGGAACGCTTTCCTCCCTGGGTAGTTTCCTGTTGAATGTCTCAATTTCACTGGTATCTGGTTAATCACAGCTGTAAGGCATTATCCTCAAAGATTTGTACAAACCATCTTGAAGAGGTAACCAATAATTACTTCTGCTGACGGACAACAAAACTGCCCTCACTTTGATTTGTTGAAAAACATATAAATGGTGACAGAATTGGCAAAAAAGATAAATAAGTGAAGGAGGGAGACTGTTTTCTGGGGTCTAATCTAGAAATATTTGCAAGAAGGGAACCAAAAATCAGTACGAAGGAAAAATGAAGTGTTTCGTAGACGATGGGTACTAGTGTGAATATTTGCACTAGTTCTAGTACTTCGTCTAGTAAAAAGTAGGGTTTTGCATTGGGGTGGGGGTAAGTGCTAGGCATTCTCTCCCTTCCAAAGACCGGGGGCCTTTGCTTGGCACCAAGGCCTCACTGCACAGTTGTGATAAGTTAACGTTGCGGCGCGTCCTGTGAGTGTCGGTGACAACTCGGAGACGCGGCTTGCCGCGCTATCCCCTGGGGATGGGAGTACTGAGATTGCTTTTCTGAAAGATCACAAAGCAAAAATAAGTTCCAAAAACCCACATTCCCAGCAATAAGGAAGCTCAAGGGAATTACGTTAGAAGAGCAATTGATGGAGAGGCAGAAGGTAGACTTTGGCAAAGAATGATTTAAGTTACACGTGACCCCAAATTCAGATGCTGGGGCCACTTTTAAGACTTCAGCAGAACATTTATTGGTGGATCTATGATTACAAATAGAGAGTTTATGGTTTCTTCTTTTTTCTCAGATGTCTTATCAGAAGAGCTACTCAGTATCGTTGCGAATGTGTCCGGATGCCTCCCCTACATGCTGCCACCAAAGTGTCCAAACACGTGCCTGGCCGACAAGTACCGACTCATCACAGGAGCTTGCAACAACAGGTATTGCCTGTAGGGTTCTCAGTCTTCTCGTGACGTGGGATTGATCGTGCTTAGCCGCCGTCGCGAAGGCAACACTGTGTGAGCCCCTCCTGCCCTCTGGGAGCCCCTCCCCCGGTCTGGGGAATGGCTTTGCCCCCCCCCACTGCATCCCCTCCGCGCCGCCCACCTCAGTACCACCAATCACCCTTACAGATCCCGCAAACCCACAGAGTGGCCCCATGGTCCGTCTGACCGACAGCTCAAGCCAAACACTCAGGCGTCATCCTCCGCGTCCCCAACCCCCGACCCATCGTTTCAGAGGCGTCGAAGGCGCTCGTTTCCACCCTGGAGACACGCCTTCTCCCCTCGCACCGCCAACCTCAGCTGAGGTCACCCGAATCAGCCCCTTATCGTGACACAGCAGCCCCTCCCCTGCTACTAATCCACCTGCTGCGTCCAGACATTCAGGCTGCCCTCTGGGGCCAACACCACCCCGCACCTCCTGACACCCCCCTGGCTCCCCCTCGCACCCAGAGCGAGCTCTGCCCTCTGCCTGTCCCACGGCCTCCTCTCTGCTTCGCGGCCTGACCGTGCCCGTAGGGGCCTCCTCCCTGTCACCGGAGCTCCAGGCTCCCCCACCCCTGCAGGTCTGAGTCCTTCTGCCCCCTCTGCCGGGAAGCTCCGTCCCAGGGGCTCGTGGGGACCCCACTCGGGTCACCCTGGTCTCAGCCCCGAAGCCTCCGCACCAGAGGCCCACCCAGCGCCGGTAACAGGGTCCCACCCACCACCTTCCGCCATGTTCTCTGCTGGATTTCCCCGTCACTTGTCCTATTGTAAATTTCCTTCTTCACGTTTCTTACTTTTTGGCCCCCGACCCCAGCCCATGCCTCCCCGCGTGCGTACACGAGGCCGCGTCAGTTCTGCCTGCTGCGCGTAGGGCCGGGGCTGGCGGGGCCAGAGCAGGGCGTGTGGGAGCCGGGGAGGGGGCGGCAGCACAGGGGCCACCTGCGGTGCACACGGGTGGGACGGGCCGGCTGGGAGAGGCCCCACGTGAGTCCCAGGAGCTGAAAGAGCGCGCCCACACGCCGCCGCCCGGGCGGCCACACCTGGCAAACACATTGCCCGGCGTCTCCCAGCATCAATCCTGAGCTTTACGCTCAAGCCCTCCTGAAGCTGGAAGTTTAGAATTTCCTTTCTCTTTAGAATTCAGAACATCACAGAGTCCACAGCGCCTAGGGCCAGGAGAGAGGAGCAGCCGTCCTGGCAAATCACTGACCCAGAGCCGTGCGAGCATAGGCAGCTGCCTCCCTTATAGAGCTTCCCTTCAGAAGTGGTTCCATGCGTTTATTTTTGTCAGATTTATGGCCAATTCTCCACTGCTGCCATTAATCCAAATCTAATACAGGTGCAATGTGCACAATTGGTTGATCCCACTGGGGACAGAAGCTCTTCTGACACGAGCTGATCCATCTCGGGGAGAGCGGGTGCAGGGCGGAGCAGTCCAGAGACACATCTGTCCTGCGCCCTGTGGCCAGGCCGGCCACTAACTGTGAGGACAAAGTGACACATTGGCTGAGTGTTCACTCGCTCCCCTGTGGGTGCTCTGGGCTACGGCAACATTCTAGTGAAATATAAAAGCCAATCAGCAGAAAAAAAATTCCCTGCTTAAGCAGTTAAATTAACATTTCATTATTTTAAATTGAGTGATATCACCCCTCCCTGTGAGCCACACTTTACAGTTTCAGTAAGGACAAACCAACCGTGACGAGTCTGAGCGCTTCGTAAAGCAGCGTCCAACCTTCAAACCCCGACTTACGGCCCCTGATTAAGGTGTCACCGTCCTGTGTTGTTCGGCGAGTTGAGCCAGTTTGTGGAGACCAGTGAGTGTTAATGATGGAATCACCCTCACTCCGGTCCCTGCCGACGCACAGAGCAGCCAGGTGTCCCCAGACCCGCCTGTGCCCGCGACTGGTCCTGACCCGCTCCCGGGTCGAGTTGCGGCGCGTGAAGGACGAGGGCAGTCAAGTCCCTTCTCGGTAGCTTCAGGGACCGCGTGGTGGCCTTAGGGACTTGTTGGGGGGAGGGACTGCTCAGTCGGCCTCCGCGGCCAGGATGGATCTCGCCTTCACGCGTGGACGCTCGGTGCCGAACTCCGACCGTTCTGCTAGAGCCCGTTCCTCTCGCTCCCGCGCAGAACATCCCGGTCAGTAGGTTCCCATGACAGTGACTGAAACATGTTGTATCCAAAAAGCCCACAATTTAGTGATAAAACCAACTAATTCTTAAGTATTTGTATTCCCAAACACTGCGAAAGTTTTTAAACATCCTTCTCTGGTCATGGTTCTTACAGATTGCACCCCCGTATTTTCCAAGTGTCTGCACAGCAGATGCAGGAGGGGATTTCTAGAAGCCTAGATCCCAATCTTCTCCATTCCGTGCTCCCTCGTCAAACGTCCTCCCAGGCCCTGCACCGCAAGCGTCCCCGTCCCCACGCACCCTCAGCCCGCAGCCAGGCCCTCGCCGCGTCGCCCCGCCTTGTGCCCACCACGCAGGTGCCCAGTTGCCAGCAATTCCTGCAGGGACTTGGCCGATAGACGCTGTGAAACACGGACACCATGACAATGTCACACCCTAACGATCAGTTTTTTTAAATGAAAGGAACAAATTTTTCGCTAACAGAAAATCCCCTTTTTTGATCTTCAAATTGATATTTCTATTCTAATCCCCCCATAATATTCTTCCAAATGTAGAATATTTCATGCTTGAAAGTCCTTTATTTTTTCCTTTTATATATTCCTTTACTTTTACATTTGCTCTGTAGATATTCATGTTTATATTATATTTTGATATATTCATTTATTGTATTTTATACATTTATATAGTTGTATCATGCATTTATATATTTGCACATTCATATAATTTATATTGCATATTTAACATATTTATATATTTCATAAATTGCAACTTCAGATCTAGAAAATTTGCAGTGGGAACGAGGGTCTAAACGTTAATTGTTTTCTTCATGAGTGAGTTAATTTTTACAACCACCATTAGAACACAATTGATTAAATCAGCACGACTGTATTACAAATGTTGATAATTATTAAGCATAGAGGTAAATTTGTATTGGAATGAACTCACCGTTGAGAGGGAGGAAGTTTTAGCTGGTTCACGGGAAAGTTGGGTGAACCTCCACGTGTTGGCCAAGTGACCAGGCACCCGACTGACCTGAGGTCCCTGCTGACACCTGTTGTCCCAACATGATCACTAAGAGTCAACAGTGCTGCTTTCGCCTCCAAAGTATCCCACCCCATGAATTATACGGACACCCTACCTGTGGGGAATGAGACGTGCTTCAACAGCAGCCCCGTGCTTATTTTCTGCCTTTGCAGACGAAAGATCCTTAGAAACTTGTTCGTGTGACTATATCTTTGAAAACACAGTCTTGTTATAGCAACAAAGCTTGGTCCTCAAAATTCCTTCTGAGACACATCAGAAAGTGAACATATAATGAGCTATCCGAGACATAGCGCATGAATTTTAATTATATGTGCACCTTTTCTACTTAGGTATACCTTACTTAACGCAATATACTCAGAAGTAGTTTTTGATGTCAAATAGTAATAAACACACCTTTGCTGCATCATGCACTTTAAATATATTTTTTGTCAAAATATATTTTTACCAGTGGAATAAAACTGCAGATCGGTCTACTCGTGGAGAACACCGATATTTAACCTAATTGACTGAGTCCGTTCTCATTGTCAAATAGATCAACCAAACACGACTTCCTCTCTCTCAGAAAAGGCCTGACTTTATTTTTAAATGAAACAAATATATTAATGGTTCCCTGGTCAACTAGCTTACTTATAAATTTAGAACATTGCAGCAAGTTCCAAAGTTTCTGCAAGTTCATCCTTCTAATGAACATAGAATATAGGAAGGACATTCCGGGTGGTTTATGGTGCTTTGATTAAAGGATGGTGAAATACCACAATATTTCAAATTTTCTCTATGTTTGGAGCCTCAGAAGTTTCTTTCCTCCAGAGAAGTGCCCGGTACATTCTAGAAGGGTGGTAGACTGGCTTTGAAGAACAAGTGGGAGAGAACTCCAGGGAGGGGGCACAGGGGCACCCTGGGGGCAGCACACCCAGACAGACGGTGCCAGCTCGGGGTCCCCTGAGACCAGCCGAGTCCACCTGCTCCAGGTGTGCCCCCGGGGGGAGTCGTCTTCAAGCCTAAGGTCCCAGGGAAGCCACTCGCTTACGTCCCTTGAGAATGGTGTGCTATATTGGGGTCTTGCCACGTCCTTCTCCTCCCCGGCTCACACACCTGCGCACGTTCATTTCCGCAGAGAACACCCCCGCTGGGGCGCCTCCAACACGGCCCTGGCGCGGTGGCTGCCTCCCGTCTACGAAGATGGCTTTAGCCAGCCCAGGGGCTGGAACCGTGGCTTCCTGTACAACGGGTTTCCGCTGCCGCCGGTGGGTACCTCAGGCTGGAATTGGTCCCCATGTGCCGACACGGGTCCCTGGTGCCGGCGCAAACTGACCCTTCCTGAGATCTCGTGGCTGTGCCTGGGGAACCGTGCCGTGCTCTACCCCCCCACCCCTCCCTGAGATCCTGCGCCTCCTTGGGGTGGGGTCGCGGTCTCGGGGCAGCCTAGGAGCCCCTGGAAGGCTGAACTCACTCAGCGCGTGGAACAGTATAGACTCAGCTACGCTTCATCCAACTCTTACAGCTCCGATCTTGACAGTCACTCCAGTATGTTCAGATAAATTCCTGTATCCCTCAGGTAGGCCAGGTACAGCCAAAGACGCTTTTTAATTATCGATAACGAATGCGCTCATTTATGTAGAGGTGAAGATGATCACTTTGCTCCCAGAGGTGAATTTCTTTGCCTGACAGACCCAATCTGCTGGTCTATTTGCTCCCAACTTGACCATTCACTCCAATGGATAAGCCAGTCTGTTTGCTTTTATCCTGTATTTAGTAAGGGAATTCTCCAGAAATAAAACAGAGGCTGCTCTGTTCAGCCCAAAGAATGTTCTGGACTAGCTCCGCCCACCACACGGGCAACCTTCCCAGATGGCAGTTTGGCAAGAGGACCCTGCGCTCCCGGAGCTGGTGGGGACCAGGGAGCGTGGCTGAGGCTGCGTGTGCCCGGCGAGGCTGGTGTCAGTCACGTCCGTGCCGCCCTTAGCGTGCGGCGAGTTCTTGGCCTCAACTGGAGCATCCCTCACAGGGGGTAATAATAGCATCTCATACCTTGTGCTGGACACGGAACCAATTCAACTCCTGAGATTCTTGACTCTGTTATGAGGCTATGATTCTATAAACCCGTATTTGCTCGGATTACATGACTATTTAGATAAATCAGTGCCCAAGTATCTTTCGATGTGGACGATGTGTTAGCTTCCTTGTCCCGCTACAACAAATTACTCCAGATTTAGTGGCTTAGAGCAACACAGATTTCCCATCTTCCAGTTCTGCAGATCCAGAGTCTGGTGGGGTTTTCACTGGGCTCGGATCAAGGCGCCGGCAGGGCCGGTTCCTCCCAGGGCTCTAGGGGAGAGCCATTTTCCTTTGCCATTTCTAGAGGTGCCCATGTGCCTTGGCCCAGGCCTCGCCCTTTAAAGCCAGTAGCCTGGTGTCTTCTTGCCCTCCCTCCACACCCGCATCTCCCCTGGCCGCCGTCGGGAAGGGCCTCCGACCTCAAGGACCCCTGTGATTAGACTGGACACGCTCGGAAGTCCAGAGCAATCTCCCATCTCAAGCCCCGTAATGTAATCACATCTGTAGGTTCCAAGTATTAGGGCCTGGACATCTTTGGGGCCCTCTGATCCCCAAATATTCACATCCATTCCACATGAGAACACATCCATCCCATCTCAAGGACCCCCCAAATCCCACCCCATTACAGCGTCAGTTCGGTGTCCAAAACGCAACCCAATCTCACTGTTGAGAGCGTCTAAGTCAGGGATGGGGAGAATGTGGGCATGAGGCTTCCTGGACAAGAATCCTCTCCAGCCGGATCTGCGAAACCGGGAAACGGTTGTCTGTTCCCAAAACACGATGGCGAGACGGGCACGAAATACAGTTACAGACTTCCCACTGGAGACAGGAAGGGCTCGGGAGAAAAGAGCAGTCGCTGATCCCAGGCCACTTGGAAATCCAGCCAGGCAGACTCCACCAGGTCACGAGAACTCAGAACAGTCCTCGGTGGCCGGGGCTCTGCCCTCTGCACCCTGAAAGCTCAGCACTTTCATATCCGTTCACAGATGAGGAAACTGAGGCTGAGAGCCGTTAACCAACAGGCCCTCGGATCACCACGAGTCAGAGTCAGGGACCCAGGTCCAGGTGTGTCTCACCCAAAGCGCAGGCTATTCCCACCGTAACCACGGGGACTAGATCTCTGAGCACCCTCAGTTGTGTGACCAGGACCCACACTGAGAAATGTGTCACCTTCCTGCCGTGAGGCGCCTTTCTGCGTCCTGACAGACGTCTCTTCTTGCCCAGGTACGGGAGGTGACCAGGCAGGTCATCCAAGTTTCGAATGAAGCTGTTACGGAAGACGACCAATATTCTGACCTGCTGACGGTGTGGGGGCAGTACATCGGTCACGACATCGCGTTCACGCCTCAGAGCACCAGCAGAGCCGCCTTTTGGGGGGGAGTCGACTGCCGGCTGAGCTGCGAGAACCAAAGCCCATGTTTCCCTATACAGGTAGGTTTGATGTTTTCATTTCCATTACGAGACTAGTCAATGCCATTTAAAAGGTCAGTCAGAAAAGCATAGAATGAAACGCCGAAGTCTCCTTTTGCCCGATTCCAAGGGATGACTGCAGTCGTGAATTTCCATGCATCCCACTAGAGGAAGGTATCTGTCATGCGTGTATGTAACGTATACATGTGTGTATGCACACGCTTTTTTTCACATCCCTGTGTCATACCATGAGCACGCTCTGTGCCCGGTAAGGGTCACTTAGCAATAATTTTTATACTTCTCTCTATATAACCATGTGGAAAAAATTTGACTGTTTTATGACTTCTCGATATTCCATGTGTGCATTACAATTTATTTAACCACTTCCCTCACTCGTGAGCATGTAAGTTGTTTTAGCTTTGTTGCTGTTGTTACGCTGCCGCAGGTGATGAAGCAGAGAATATATTTGTGCCGAAATCTTGGTGCACGCACACGCCTAATGTATAAAGGGCAAAGTGGCTAAATCACAGAAGAGGTGCACGTGGGACTTTGATAGATACCGCAGAATTTCTCTGCATTAATATTGCGCTAATGTTCACTCTTACCAGAAAAAAAAGAGACAATACAGGTAGGGTTTTTAATTACTTTTCTTTAGAAAATAGCTTTGAAGCTGGCAAGGGACATTTTCTATTATATTTAAGAATGGAGATTGTCGGGCTCATGTCCTCAATAACATTCACTCAGTAAACCTTGCTGGGCAGCAATTCTTGCCGTGCTGGGCTGTGCGCTGGGCAGGTGGAAGGGAGGACAGCCCACCCCGGCTGTGCTTTGCCTGGGGGGCGGCCCAGACAGTGAACTGGCCCCTGCAGAGGAGGCCCCAGCTGGCAAGGCCCCCAAACAAAGTGGCCCAAAAGGAAGAATTTTGGGCTGAAGCCTTGTAACAACCACCATGTGGCCCCATAAGGGCTGCACCAGTCATAGAAATTGAATTCTAGGCTGGGCACGGTGGCTCACGCCTGTAATCCTAGCACTCTGGGAGGCCGAGGCGGGTGGATCGCTCAAGATCAGGAGTTCGAGACCAGCCTGAGCAAGAGCGAGACCCCGGCTCTACTGAAAATAAAAAGAAATTAATCGGACAACTAAAAATATATAGAAAA